GACAGGCAGGAGACATGGGTGAGTGGTGGTTGGGAGGACAGGCAGGAGACATGAGTGAGAGGTGGTGGGGAGGACAGGCAGGAGACATGAGTGAGAGGTGGTGGGGAGGACAGGCAGGAGACATGAGTGAGAGGTGGTGGGGAGGACAGGCAGGAGACATGAGTGAGAGGTGGTGGGGAGGACAGGCAGGAGACATGAGTGAGAGGTGGTGGGGAGGACAGGCAGGAGACATGAGTGAGAGGTGGTGGGAGGACAGGCAGGAGACATGAGTGAGAGGTGGTGGGGAGGACAGGCAGGAGACATGAGTGAGAGGTGGTGGGAAGGACAGGCAGGAGACATGAGTGAGAGGTGGTGGGAGGACAGCAGGAGACATGAGTGAGAGGTGGTGGGAAGGACAGGCAGGAGACATGAGTGAGAGGTGGTGGGGAGGACAGGCAGGAGACATGAGTGAGAGGTGGTGGGAGGACAGGCAGGAGACATGAGTGAGAGGTGTGGGAGGACAGGCAGGAGACATGAGTGAGAGGTGGTGGGAGGACAGGCAGGAGACATGAGTGAGAGGTGGTGGGGAGGACAGGCAGAGACATGATGAGTGACAGGTGGTGGGGAGGACAGGCAGAGACATGAACTGAGAGTTGGGGAGGACATGGCAGGAGCATGAGATGAGACAGGTGACATGAGGATCTGACCACTGGATCATGAACCATTTTGGATATGCAGACATGTGTGAATGGTCGAACCATGGCATGAACCATGGATCATGAACCATGGATCATGAACCATGGATCATGAACCATGGATCATGAACCATGGATCATGAACCATGGATCATGAACCATGGATCATGAACCATGGATTATGGGGAACCATGGATCATGAGGACAGGTTGGACATGAACATGGATTATGACGTGACACATGGATCATGGACCAGTGAGACATGATATGGAACCAGGAACATGGTTATGACATGGATTATGGATACCATGGGAAAATGGGTATGACCAGTGAACTATGAACATGGACATGAACATGGATTATGGACCGTGAACTATGGATTATGGACCGTGAACTATGGATTATGGAACGCATGGAGACATATGGATTATGGACCGTGAACTATGGATCATGGACCGTGAACTATGGATTATGGACCGTGAACTATGGATTATGGACCGTGAACTATGGATTATGCACCGTGAACTATGGATTATGGACCGTGAACTATGGATTATGGACCGTGAACTATGGATTATGGACAGTGAACTATGGATTATGGACGTTGAACTATGGATTATGGACATGAACTATGGATTATGGACCGTGAACTATGGATTATGGACCGTGTGAACTATGGATTATGGACCGTGAACTATGGATTATGGACCTTGAACTATGGATTATGGACCGTGAACTATGGATTATGCACCGTGAACTATGGATTATGGACGTGACATGGATTAGACGTGACTATGGATTATGCACCGTGAACTATGGATTATGGAACATGAACTATGGATTATGGACCGTGAACTATGGATCATGGACCGTGAACTATGGATTATGGACCGTGAACTATGGATTATGGACCGTGAACTATGGATTATGGACCGTGAACTATGGATTATGGAACCATGAACTAATGGATTATGGACGCCGTGAACTATGGATTATGACCGTGAACATATATGGAATTATGGATAGACCGTGAACTATGGATTATGGACCGTGAACTATGGATCATGGACCGTGAACTATGGATTATGGAACATGAACTATGGATTATGGACCGTGAACTATGGATCATGGACCGTGAACTATGGATTATGGACCGTGAACTATGGATTATGGACCGTGAACTATGGATTATGGACCGTGAACTATGGATTATGGACCGTGAACCATGGCTGCAACATTTGGCACTCAGAACAACCTGAGGCGACAGTATGTGTTTTTATGTCAAAGCTTATGTCATCGTTGGTGGAGATCAGATCTAATTGCCTGATGGGTTTCTTGTGGCTGAAGGAGTGATCGTATCGGGTGAGGTGTCGTGTTCTGATGGGATGGGTGTTGTGTGGGTGTGGGAGTGGGTGTGGTGTGGGAGTGGGTGTTAAGTTGGTGTGGTCTTGTTCTACTGTGGGTATGTACACAAAAAAATTACAGATAAAGAGTTAATAAAATCATCGAAACAGCAGACTAACACAAATTTAAAATAAGACTTCATCAAAACTGTAAAATAAATGAAAAATAAAACACACACACACACATCATAAAATCCTTGTTAGGCAAGTCTCCTCAGGGAAGGTAACACTCCTCACTAACCCGTCGTGATAACTATCTGAAGGTGTTTATTGACGGGAGATGTGTGTGTGTGTGTGTGTGTGTGTGTGTGTGTGTGTTGTGTGTGTGTGTGTGTGTGTGTGTGTGTGTGTGTAGATTCATTTGAGTGTTTTTCTTTCATTTAGGTGTTCAACTTTCCCTGTGTTTCATGTGAGTGTTCATCGTTCAACTATGTCCTCTTATTTTGGTTCATCCCTTGTTACACAATCTGCCTTTGTAAACCATGTCGATCATTCTAAGTTTCTTGCACATCATGACCATATCTCCTTCGACTCTTCACTCCTCCAGAGACATGAGCTTCTGTTCATTTAGTTGAACTTCGTAGGTCGTGGGTCTTAAATCCGTGATCACTGGTTGCAAATATCTGAATATTCTCGAGTTCTTTATGTACTTCATGAAGAACGTCCGTCACAGATGGAGGAGGGAGCCTTCACCACTCCTCGTGTAGAATGTCTCCAAGCGGGTTTAGTTCTTTATTTAATCAACGATAAATAAATACGTTGTCAATTTTCCCAGTGTGATGCTTCACCCTTCACCATGACTCACTGACTTGTGACTTTCGAGTGTTTCTTAAACAAGCGAAGTACATTTCCCATCATCCCATCTTGTACCACAAGTTTCTTGACCAGTCTCTGATGGAACACAGGGTTGAATGCCTTCTAAATCTCTAAGGCATAGTCTGACCATCCTCTTACTGATTTCTTCAGCTTCTCATAAAATACATATACGTTTGTGAGAGGGAGCATTTGTCTTGTGTAAACTTCAGGTGTTGTTCCTTAGATGTAGTTGAAGTATTGCGTAGTCGACAAAAGGCTGAAAGACACATGCAACTTCTCCTCTCCAGATGATCCATCAGCATCTGTCTTGAGTGTGTAAACAGGACTTCCCACGCTGATGTGAATTATAATCGATCATAAACACTTTACATTAGTAATTATTAGCTGGAAACGAATTTTATCAGCTCACAATTTGGACCAAAACGTCGTCATAAGTTACTTTCTCCAATGTGCTGGTTATTTGTGTATTATTCCAGTCACGGTATTGTGTCTTTTTGTTATTTATCAGTTCAGTGACTCACTTACAGTGTTGTACCCCAGGAGACGTGGCTCTATAGTAAACACTTGTCCATATGATGACTGAGACATCTGTGCAACACTTGAATATGTTTACTGTGGAAACGTTCCGCCAGTAAGTGGCTTCTTCAGTCCAGTTCAGAGAAGAACGGTGAAAGATGAGAATGATAACCAAGGGATCCAGAAGTGTCTTTCTTATTCATCAACTTGTCGGTTTTCTGAACCATTTACCTACAATTCATGTCAGACGCAGCATATATCTTGGGATCTTGATATAGAGAATTCTACGCTTGCCTAACCTATAGGCATGACCTTCTTCCACCTGTGGATTTATCCATGGTGACGCTGCCCCCCACTACTAAACCTCACCTGTCTGCAGTATATACGCTCCTTCTCCGCCCATATGCTGTACTTTTACAAGGCTGATGGACTGATAACAACGACTCCAGGCTGATTTCAAATTAGCTAACTTAATTTTTCTGCACATTCTTTAAAGGTCCATGAGACTATATCAGCTGATCTTCTTGTTACTAATACACGTCTATACTTACAAGGACTTCCTTTTCCTCTTATTGTAAACATTGGTACAATATTAAAAAATGCAGAGATTAAGTCACTTGGGTTCTAACATTTAATTAATGGATCACAATCAAACAACGGGGAAAGTGAAAGAAAAGCTCTTTTCCTAATTAATTTATAGTTGTTAATGGTTATAATCATAACCTTAATTCTTAGAGGTGTGACTCGGTAAGCCAGCGGAAGGCCTCGGTCAAATGACCAAGAGCTCCAGCTGTGGGTCATCATATGACTACGACCCCCGTCAGGAAACACTTGTCCTGTTTCCTGATAAACCTTACCAAACCTAACCGGGCCTCTTTTCTAAAGGTGGCCACTCGGTGCCTAATATATATTTTCCAGTGTGTTGTTATTGACTCTCCTCGTAGTCTAGTGTACGTGCTCACAGCAGAATGCTTAATTATTCTGCACATGCGTTAAAATCCACGGTAATACTTCATCTGTATATGCTGCTTTGCTTTTATAATTTCCATTAATATTTTACTGTGATTTGTCCAAAGTTCCAAATCGCTTTAGGAATATAAGCTTGACCAGGTCAGGTCAAAGGTTAGTGAGATACTGTTGAGTTACGATTCCGGTGGTAGAGTAAAGGAAGCCGCGGCAACAATGAAAATACGTGGAACAAACAACAGCAAGTGCAGCTGCAACATTGCAAGGCAATGAACACAACATCAGCCACTCCCCCCAGTCCCCCTTCCTGAAGAAAAAAAAACACAGTTTTCACGCAGGCTGCGTAGCAGCAGCTGCGTTATAAAATTCATCAACAAGTGTTCAACACTGGAGTGCCACTCTAACAAACTACACACTTAACGAAGAAGGACACCAGGCACTCTTGCAAGAGAATCTGCCTGAATGCACGACGTGTGTGCTTGCGTGTACGCTTTGGCAGGTGAGCATTCGTGTGCATGAATACGTCCTTGTGTGGGGTATATATGTGTGTGTGTGTGTGTGTGTTTGTGGCGAGCGCGCACGCACACAAAACGCACACACAGACACACACACACACACCCAGGCAGCGTACATAAGGAGCGAGCGAGGGGTATGCACACTGTGTCGGTACTTGGCGAGTGTGGCTGCTAGTGCTCTCCTTCACTCAGTGAGACCAGCGTTCCTGTTTGCTACAAGACTCTCCCTTCTCTCACTATACATCTCTCCTTCGCTCTCACTTGGCGCCTCTCTGCCTACAACCATGACGCTACCGCGATCCTTAGCCACGCTGGTGCTGCTGCTCCTGGGTGTGTGTGTTGAAGCGAGGGTGACCAACACTACCAGTAGCAGCGCCTCAGCCTCCTCCTGCGATCCCAACAAACTCACTGTGTATAAAGTGTTGTTGCAGACAGCCTGGAGCAGAGAGGTGTTCCCCAAGCAGTACCCTGAGTGGCGACCCCCAGCACAGTGGTCCAAAGTTGTAGGTAAGTACAACATTCTCGTCTCTATCTTTGAAGTATATATTTAAGACTCGAACTGTCCTCAAAGTAGTAATTTTGGTTTAGTGTTTCAGATACTTGCAGCATCCGTGTATATATCTTGAAAGTATATATTTTAGATTAGCTCTATCCTCAAAGTGGAAATTTTAGTGCCTTATCAGTTAGTAGTAGTTCATTAGTGTGTTAAGGTTAAAGATTATCGGTTGCATGAGACTTATTAAAGATAAGTTGAATACATTAATCTCTAAATTTGAGTACCAAGTAAATTTCATTATTGATATACACGTCTGTGTATATACACTCAGAGATACACACTGTTCTGTGCATTTACACAGATAAACTTAACTGTGTATATACACTGAAAGACACACACAGTTCAGTTGTTCATTTATCGAGGGACTTGTTGCCAGAGTAGTGTTTCTACTCAGCGATTACTAAACTAAGGATCGAGCCTTCAAACAGTCCTTGCACTGAACAACCCACAAGGGTTTAGTGTTTCACATAAATATAATAATAAACGAGGTGCCAGGGAAAGCAAGCGTCTCAGTCGACCAGAACGAACCACTGATTTAATTATCTTAGAAATAATAAATAATATTTGGGAATGGAGTCAGTGTTAAGATTTCTTAATGATGAGAAATGCTTTCACGTGCATCATGAGATGCTTTGAGGCTGATGAAGGTCTCTTGATCTAAGGAACCAGAGCCATCCTTCTGTTCTCGGATCAAACCACATTTGCCTCTATTAAGAAAATGGCATTTTTTGACTAGAAAAATAGTCACGGGAAAAATAGAGTTGTAGATAAAGAAAGTTATTAAAATATAAAAACTTTTGAGTAGTTTTATTATATGAAGAGTACAAGACATACATAATAACGTCGTAACTTGGAAACAAAGGAACCACGAAATGGGTGATGTTTAAACCCATGGCGAGTGAGTTGTAAAACTTTAGGCCAATGCGTAAACCACTAGACCTTGAGTTATACGACTCACTCGCCATGGGTTCTAACCCCACGCGTTCTCTGGTTTGTTTGTAATCGTTTTATTAAGATTTCGTGAGCCAAGAAACAAACGAAGCTGAACGTCGACTTTATTAACTTAGATAATATGTATACACTGGGGGTAATAATACAGATAAGATGCTGTCAGCAAGAAAATACAATCCTGGCTGTTGCTGACAAGTGTCCAGCACCTGAACTATGATATCCCTGTACAATCTATCGCAAATGGCTTTAAACACAGTGTAATGAGAGTTGAGTTTCTTTCAGATTTTGGTGTGATGTGAACACCGAACTTACACAATCCACTTGTTGTAAGAGCCAAGAGCTGGGCGTCGCTCCACAGTATAATGTCAATGCTGACTTTTTATTTTGTGGTATGATTGATGCATTACCCTTTTTGCCTCTAGATGACATTTATGAAGGAATGAACTAGTTCAGAACTCTCATTCCTAAAGATCCACCTGAGGCTAAGCAGTAACTCATTTACTTCGATTGTATATAACTGACAGTGGCTCATTTCGACAGTCAGCAACTAGTTGCTAGTCCTAGTAATGGTCTGCACATGCCTTTAAAGGGCATGTCATTTCTCCTGTTTTCTAATATCATGTTTATTTTTTTCTCTATAATCTACCCTGTCCATAATTACTACCGCATTTACTTTGCTTTCGTAAGGTGAAGTCTAAGATCTTTCCTTAATTCATGGTATAACTTAAATGTCTGAGGTTTGTTCAGACCTCTGCAACACAATTGTCCTCAAAGATTTGTTAAGCTATACCATGTGTTAAGAAAAGATCCTGGACTTCACCTTACGAAAGCAGACAATGCAAATGTGATAGTAATTGTGGACAAAGTAGATTATAGAAGAAAAATAAACACGATATTAGGAGACAGGGAAACTGAGGCGTCTCTTAACATTCATTGTGTTGCTCCTTGCCTATCCTCACCTGTGCGAGTCTCACGGTGCAGATATTAACAAGACTTGCACTAAGGGCGTAGGTGAAGGATGGAACAATAAGTTCTTCAATCTCATCGGTCACCATCATTATTTACAGTGGCGCACTATTCACTGATTTCATGGTGATGAATCGACGGTGTCAGGAATCAGCGAGGATGAGCACAACAGACACTACTGACAACCACAACGTCTTCAACCTAGCAAAGTCCTTGCCAAACGTGATTTTACATAATAAACACAAAACCGGTAATCCAACAACATTTCGAGCCTAATTTGAAATGTTAATTTGAAGTATTTCTCTCCTGGGACCCCTTGTCACTCGAAACTTTACCAAGGTCCCATGTCTCAATAAATTGCATTTTGTGTTCAATGGAGGAGCGGGCTGACTGCAGTGCTCTGCTACCCACATCAAAACCAGCTGTCAAACCATTCCTTAATGGTCTTACCTTACTCTCCGTGTGTGTATGTATAAAAAAGTATCATTCCTATGAAGTTTAACCCCTGAGCGAAAGGTGTTACCAGTGAATATAATAAGTCGTTATAAAGACACTTTGATCCAAGGCATTGGCACAGGTGTAAGTTAGTAAATAAATAAGTTTAACAGGCACAGGTACACATAAGCACTAATTATCATACATAGTGTAAATTTGTAGATGAATGGTTCAGAGAACCGACATGTTGATAAATTAGACACATGTGCAACTCTTGGGTATCTTTATTGAGGAAACGTTTCGCCACACAGTGGCTTCATCAGTCCATACGTAGGAGAAACTTTAAGAACAGGAGGAGAATGAGGTAATCAGTCCCTCAACCTTGAGTCGATGTGTTCAGTCTATCAATCTTGAATAGAATCTATTCAAGATTGATGGACTGAACACATCGACTCAGGGTTGAGGGACTGATTACCTCATTCTCCTCCTGTTCTTCAAGTGTCTCCTACGTATGGACTGATGAAGCCACTGTGTGGCGAAACGTTTCCTCAATAAAGATACCCAAGAGTTGCACATGTGTCTAATTTATCAACATAGTGTAAATTACCTAGTATAACCCCAAAAAGTCAGGTGGTGTCTAGATTAGGTTACATCTCTTATGTATACAAAGTGGGGGGGGGGCATTTCTTCAGAATGTTTGGTAATATGTCACTGTGAATGAAGTATTTAGACATTTGTTAAACCTTGGTGAGTGCTAAGGTCACCCAGAAGGTTGATCACGTCTAACACCACTGAATGAACATTACCAGTTAACATAATCATTAAAATGTGGATCACACAGCGCATTTAAGAGAATATTTGACCAAATTCTTTATATTCTATGGGAAAGAAAAAACTATAGCTTCGAATTCCCATAATTTTTTTTCGGGTTTTATGTAATTTTAAGACATTTCAATTATCCACTATTACAATTTAAAAAAAAAATCGAAATTTTGAGATTTGTAAGAATATAATAAACTTAAGAATTATTACACTGTAACGTTAAATTTAGCTCGTAATGTCGAACTGAGGATCTTCACATACACTGTATCCTCCGGTGAATAAGACACATATGTAACACATATGTATCCTTACTGACGGAACGTTTCGCCCACACAAGCTTCATCGGTCAAATACGGAAGTAATTACGATACTGAAGACCATAAAACATCTAGAGACAGTACAAGTATAGAGGTATTTTGAAGGTAATCAGTCCCTCAGCTCGAAAGAAGGTCAGTCTCGTAACCTCTATCAGCACTCTATGACCCTAGTGGGTTTAACACTTTGTTTTGATTATAATAATAATCGTAGTCTCTGTATTTCGGCATTATTTACTATTTATAAAGGATTATATTCTTCGTTAATTGACTCCAGTTTGCAAATGTTGATCTGATAAATTGAGATGGTAAATATATATAAATATAATATATATATATATATATATATATATATATATATATATATATATATATATATATTAATATATTATATATATATATTATATATATCGTGCCGAATAGGTAAAACTGGTCAGTTAGCAAGAACTCATTTAAAATTAAATATTTTAAATTTTTTTCGTATACTTTTAAATATATATATTTTTTCATTTATGTTAATGTAAAAATTAATAATTTTGAACCAAAAGAACCTTAAAAAACTTACCTAACCTTATTATAATAAGCGCAATTTAATTTACCCCAATCCAACTCAATATATTTTAGATAAGTTTACAATGATTTAGTAATAAACAAAAATAATGAAATATATATTTTTCGTTAGGTTCAGAATGATTTTTGCGAAATTATTGCATACACAAATTTTAGCTTGCCTTATTCGGCAAGAAGAGCCTTGCTATTTAAGACCAAATCGCAAGTTTTACCTGTTCGGCACGACATTATATATATATATATATATATATATATATATATATATTTATTTTATTATATTTTAAATATTTATATATACTAATATAATATATAAATCATAAGATCTAAAATTTCATAAGCCAATTTAGGAGTGGCATCGTTGTGACATCATGGAGACACGAGCAATTAAGGTGTGGATGAGGTGACGTCAGAAGGCGCCCGTTGGTCTCCTTGAACCAGACACGACGACGCATCCCCAACACCATCCCCATTTACACCCCATCCTCCAATCCTTCACTTCCCATTCTTCACGCACTCATCCCATCATTTAGAATGTTCCCCAGCACTCACACTTTCTGACACTCCATATCTATATCACACAACATGAATACTCGTCTCCCTTCCTCGACTCAAGCTAGTATCATGTGTCTTGGCAAACAATATGCACCTGTTGCTGACCTGTATCCTTGTTATGGGAGAGAGAGAGAGAGAAAGAGAGAGTAGAGATGAGATGACGACGAGAGAGATACAATGAGAGAGAGCAGAGAGAAGAGAGAGCAAGAGAGAGAGAGAGAGAGAGAGAGAGAGCAGAGCAGAGAACTTTAAAGTTCACATCGAAACTGTCTATCGAAAAAGTCTATTTAATTATCTCTTGATTAAGGACTACCATGCATTTTCTAGATGTCTGAGGCAAG